CTTCCCCACCCAATTGGGCAGCTACTTCATTCAGCAGGTCAACCTTGCAACTTCTAACACCATTATTGGAAGCCTTGCCCGATCCACTCTCTCCTGGCTTGCCTGACATTCTCAGATTGACAACAGGTTTGTGTATCTTGCTCTGGAGATTATGCTTATTTTTTTTTGTTTTTTATGAGCTATTTTCTAAAGATCCATTGCAGATGTGTTTGGGTAAATTCAACCTGAAGAGCTTTTTTATGCCTTGAAATACTTTTGCGTCATTATGCTAGCCAAAAGAAACTGTGTGTTTGGTTCAGCTTATTTTAAGAAAGTAATATCTTATTTTTTGCAGCTTCTTGAGAGAACTTTTGAAAAATAAGCTATTATTCCCTCTGAAAAAAGCTCTCCTAATCCTTTAAGAATAGGGAACTATTCTTGAAACACATAACCCGATGCTGGGGACCTTGTGAAAGGCTCCATTTGTAGGTTGTTTATATTACCAGACAGTTGTCTCAACTGTAGGTTGTTTACTTGTTTATATTAACTTTTGGTTTGGTTAGTCAGCACTTGTAGGTTTCTGGTGTTTTCAATGCTTCAAATAATAGGCATACTTCCTTTCTAATGTTATTCTCTTTGAACCCATTAATGAGAAATGTTTATGGATTTCATGTCATTTACATATAATTTTGTATTATTTCCATACATTTTTTTCTGGCATTTATGCTCCGTTGTTTACGTATGATATTTTTGTGGAACTATCGCATTTTCTTCGTTTACCCATATAAATGCGATTGAGTAATTAATGCTCCATTGTTTACGTATTAATGAGAAATGTTTATGGATTTCATGTTTCATGCGTCATGCCTTTGCCGGAGCTTGTCTATGATTCTTTTTTTGTCATTTCCCCCTTCTGCATTCCTTTCATGATATAATATTTAAATGGTGACTAATGAAGCAAAACTTCCCCTTTTTTGTAGCTTTTGCTTATTTTTAGCTGAATATTCATGAATCGTAGTTTTTTTTTCTTAATTAAAATATTAAATCAGCATGTACTTAACTTCAATGTCATGCGGGACTTATGCTAAATTTTCCACTTCAAAATCCTTGAAGTCGAATAACTTTTAGAAAACGATCATTTATCATACATAGATCAAAGACCTACACTGTCTTTATCTATTACCAAAGAGAATGATACCTTTTTCCATTATGCCTTCAACATTTCTTGTAACATTAGGTGATTCTCTGAGGTCGGTGTTGCATAATGTGGTCCAAGGGCTTCCTCTACGAAATACAGCTGAAGAGCTAGTGAAGGATTTTGCTACATTCTCATTATCTCTGCCAGTAAGGTTCAATTATTGCTTTTGTTAAAAAAATGAAGAAATTACTACTGGAAGAGCAGCGTGTCACTTTTCCTTTATGCTTTGAACATGTCAAGCATTTTTATAAGAAGTAATGACAATGCATGAGGCGTATTCCTGAAGAAATCTACATTGAAAATTGTATAGCTTCTTTTCATTTCTTTCTTGTAACCAAAACTTCATAAAAGTGGAATATGCTGGACTTTTGAAGAGCGTGGATTGGCATGATTGATTATTTTTTTACTTTGCCTTCTTGGTGTTAAGTTTGAGCTTTCCTTTCATGTACATTCTGTAATGAAAATCTATTGTTGATTGAACTCTCAGGTTCTTGCTGACATATTACCAAAAGAAACACTTCTATGGAAACTAAAGATGCTCAAGTCGGCTTCGGCTTATGCCCATTCACGCCTTTTTGCTATCAAAGCTCAGACTTTGATACTTTGCAGGTTCATCCTCTTTAACATTGTATATCTTATGTCTGTCATAAACTCATAATACGGAATCATATGTACTTTGTTAACTTTTCACTTCCTGCTGGAATTGAAGTACACCTTATAGTTAGGCTTCAATATAGGGAATATATTAATCGCAGAATCTCATGATCTATTAACCAGTTTCTGATCAATTTCTATGGGTTAACTTGGCCAACAAATAAAAGCTTAAATGGTAAAAGTAATTGATTTTTATCTGAAAACGAGTCAAGATTACATTATGATGAACCTAGTGGGATTTTCCATTCTTGACTGCAATTCCTTTTATCTAATTTGTGCATTAAATTGAATATGCATTCCCAGGGTGGATGGTAAATTAATCCCACCTAGTATCACATATACGCACCATATTTTCAAGTGTATGAAGTGAATCTTTGTCATTTTCTGTTCTAGTGGAAATGACCAGTTACTACCCAGTCAACAGGAAGGTGAAAGACTACAAAAGTTACTGCCTAAATGTGAGCTTCGTAAATTTGATGACAGTGGCCATTTTCTATTCCTGGTATATATATTTCTCTATTTCTACTTTTTTGCATGCATGCTTGTCTTTTGTGTCTGCATTTAGGTTTCAAATATCAATTGGGTGTTCAAAAACGAATCCTAATTTGGTGCCTCTGTCCACTGCTAGCAGGAAGGCAGCATTGACCTAGTAACAATCATCAAGGGCACTTCATACTACCGCCGTGGCAAGTATCATGACTATGGCTTAGATTTTATACCGCCAACACTTGATGAAGCAAAAGAAATAATAGAATCAAACAGGTAAAAACAACAGGAATAATTTGATCATTTAAGTCATTGGTTACAAACAAGAGACTTCATATCATAGTGTGTCTCTGTGTGTGTATATATATATATATATATATATATTATAAAGATAGTAGATTGCAAGGAGAGCTCAGCCTACTGCTTACCATGATGAATTGCTTGATAAGTCCATTTCTCAATGACTAAATATCTGGCAATTTGTCTTTGTTTGTTTTGATTAACCAGTTGCAGTGTAATCAAACTAAATATAACATTGATATATTTCACTTAAAGTGCTTCCAGTTTGTTTAACCTTGTGGCAAGTGCTGTGATGCTCTCAACTTTGGAGGATGGGACAGTTGTAAAAGGCCTTGCTGGAATTCCTTCAGAGGGGCCTGTTTTGTTTGTAGGGTATCACATGCTGATGGGATTAGAAAAAATTCCCCTGGTTTCTCGAATATTTTTGGAAAGAAATATCCTTCTTCGGGGGATAGCACATCCCATGATGTTTACGAGATCTAAAAATGGAAGATTGCCAGATTTATCTTCTTTTGACAAGTTCAGAGTTATGGGTGCTGTCCCCGTAGCACCAACTAACCTCTTCAAGCTTTTTTCTTCAAAGTCTCATGTTCTATTATATCCTGGAGGGATGCGCGAGGCTCTTCATAGGAAGGTAAATCTTGATAAGTAGACTATTTTTTATTACTAGTGAGTTTCATCTTTCACAAGGAATCATGTATCTGCTCAATTTACTACTGCTAAGGTCTTGAAATTGTATATACCACATGGAAATAAATGTAATCAGGTGGGCTATAAATTTTGGAAAGAGCGTGTGAAACTTATGTGAGTTGAATGAATTATATAAGTATATCACTATTGTGTATTTTAAATTTATTTTAAGAATAAAAAAAAGAGAAAAAGAAAATGGCATGAAATGTCATAGAACAAAATCATTACTTTCCCTTTACAACAACGACCAAGCCATGTTTATAGATAAACTATTGACCTTTAGATTCTTCTTAATGGTTTCACATGTTGATTTTTTTCAGTCTTCCTTTGCCTCTAGCTATTGGATTGCCCTCCCCAAAATAAGCTTCTACCATTTTTTAACAATTGTTGCTACCTCAACATTATCTCCAAATTCCTAAGCCAATCTTTTCTATCATGTCCAGTCATTTTATGCAACATTCTCATGTTTGTTACATTCAGTTTATTCTTTTATTTGTATTCTACCATCTAACATTTAGTTCCATACAACATCACAAGTTTGTAGCTGTTACACACAAGAAATGGGCACGCATTGAATTCTGAATAAAGATAGAAATAATCTGGTTTTTGGTCAGATTTGAGTATAAACACGGTTTCTCCCTAATACACACGATTTACCTTTATCAAGGAGTTTCCTCCTACAAAACACAGGGAATAACAATCTAACACGTTTATTCCCTTTTGCATGTCTGACACAATTTATATATCATTCATTATTCAGTCACATTATAGCTTATAGCTTCCTAATCCAAAATTAATATAAAAATAACTACCTAGTAATTTCCTAATACATAATAACAGCACTATAACTGCATAAATCAGATTTTGGCCTATCAATAGCTGTGTGGTAAAGTCTTCGAGGTTGAAGTTTCCTCTTATAGATAACACCTAAAGCACTCCTCCATTTCATCCATCCTACTCGAATTCTACAGTTTACATCTCTATTTCTGACATTTTGTATGATTGGCCCAGGATTCATAAACTCATGGCTTGTAGTATGATATGGTCTCCAATTTCCACTTCTAAGCTACTATTTATATGCACCTCCTATTAAGCTTATATTCCATATGCTCCATATTTTTTCTGCTTAAACAAAATCTAAGTGCTTCCAATTATTATTTTCCCTTTATCATTGTAAAATTACTCGAGCTAGTTGATTGTGATTACTTTTCAAACTCTTTAGGCTTTGTTATTTTTTATGTTCACTTTATCTGTCTCTCTTTTTTTATGCTTTGAAATATATATCATACCCATTTAAAATCTCCATCATTATTCTCAGGGTGAAGAATACAAGTTATTCTGGCCTGAACAATCTGAGTTTGTCAGGATGGCAGCAAGATTTGGAGCCAAAATTGTACCTTTTGGTGCAGTTGGAGAAGATGACCTTGGTGAAGTAAGTTTTGGTCTTTTCTGAACCAATCCTTTTCCTTTACGAAGTTGTTATGGCATGAAAATGCTTGTATCAGGCAAAGCGTGACAAATTGTTTTTACAGAAAGCATAATTCTACTATACGTAATAGTTACATACTTTTCTCTATGAACTTTAGGATTTAGTATTGGTTCACGGTTAGTGAAATACTGAAATGCATTTTTCTTTCGCTGTCAGCCAAGTGTTACCACGTCATTAAAGGATTTTGACTTTGCAGGTAGTTGTTAGCATAGTCAACTCAAGTTATTCACGTGAAGCCATAGCACATGATTGGAATTCTTTTTAACATTGATATTAAATAAAAATTAAACTCTCTCTGCATGTGTTTGTGTGTGTATTTGCATGTGTTAGAGGGGGGCTGACTAATTGGAAAAGGCTTTGCAATTCGCGGGACAACATATGTTATCGTAATTTTAATTTTAGAATGGTCCTAATTAAACATTTAGAAATTGGTTTTCCATATTTTCTCCAGATGTTTGAGGTTAACTACGATTCTAAAAGTAGCAGAACACTCTTATTCTCTTGATGTATATTAATGCATGGATATGTCCATCTTTGAATTTCATTTTCCCATGATCTGTGGATGCCTTGGACCTGTATTTACCATAACACATCATATCATATTGGTCTTTTCAGGTAGTTTTTGATTATGATGACTTGGTGAAGATTCCTTACTTTAGGTCTGAAATAGAAAGTCTGACAAATGAGGCTACGCAGTTGAGGTATATTGTTTGGTGTTTTTTTATTCATTGCAAATTATGAATTACAAATTCTTTTATATACATCTTTGTTGTCCTTTTCCATCTTCGATCTATGTTTCCATATACATTATTCATTATTATATATCCCTTGTATATTGGAAATCTAGGAGTGGTGCTGGTGGTGAGGTAGCAAATCAACAAGTGCATATGCCTTTGATTTTGCCTAAAGTTCCTGGCCGATTCTACTATTATTTTGGAAAACCATTGGAAACGGAAGGTATGTATGTCCAAAGCATATTTACAAAACTATGGTGTTAAAAATTATTTTGCCTTCTTAAATTTAATGAGATATTGTTTGACAGGAAGGGAACATGAACTGAAAGACAGGAAGAAGTCTCATGAGCTTTATTTACAAGTGAAATCTGAGGTTGAGAGATGTATTGCTTATTTAAAGGTGAAAAGAGAAAAGGACCCCTACAGAGGTATAGGGCCTCGGCTATTATACCAAGCTACACATGGTTTTGAGTCTGAAGTTCCAACATTTGAAATTTGATTGTTTTTCATACAGAAAAGGTAATTTTCTAATTAGGTTAGAGTCAAACTATTTTTATTGCCAGTAGTTTCAGGCATTGTTTTCTGGCCAAAAGGCATGAATAAGCTTCATTTCTCATAGAAACATTGTACAATTTTTCCAAGATTAATCAATAAGCGATAAATGCAAATGATAAATTATTGGGGAAGGAGAACAGCTACTCAAGTTTTATTTCAAAGGGATTTTCTATTGTGTGTGCATCTCACGTGATAAGAAGTTTAATTCTACCCCGTGCAACCGTAAATATCAAAATTTGACATAACGTTCACAATTGAAAGTATTTGAGGGAAGTTTTTGGAAGCCTAATTTTTTGGTTGCATATCTTCCTAGTGTGTCCATGAGAATATCAGTTGTACTAAAATAGAAAAATATTAGAAAGGGGTTCAAAAGTTTTTAGAAAAATAGTGAAATACCACTTTTGTCCACTGAAAGTGTGAGATACTAAGAAGTTAGTCTTTCAAATATTAAAATTACAAATTAGCCCCCGACTCTTCATTCTGTTGGTCAAGTTAACTTAACTTTTAATGAATGTTAGTAATATTATTAACAAATAATGAAATGCCAAGTTATGTGTCATGTGTGTGTTGGTTTGTCATATAACATCCACATCGATCTAACCTATGCTACCACCTTCAAATTGCTAAATAAATAAATAGATTGAGTTTTTATCATTGTATTTAGGTTGACAATGAACCGAATTAATTCAAAAGTAATTTAAGATTTGATTCATAAATCAAATAAGTTAAATTTGAAGTAAAGATCAAGCTTGATAAATAAATAAATTAAATTTAAATTTTTTATAGTTCAACTTGTTTAGTTTATGAATTAATTAGACATATAAATATATAATTTATGTAATTGATTTTCTATTTAATTTTTACTTATTAAAATTTGAAAGAACTTTCAAAACTTGATTTTAAGTTAATAATAATAAAAAAGTAAACACTTTAGAATGTCATGATTATAAATTGAGTTTTTTTTATTATTTTATGTAAAGTGGAGAACTTTTAATTTATATAGATTTTAGTTGACATCATGTTTTTTTTAGAATCATACCTTGTAATTTTGCAAAATTAATAAATTAAGTTATTTTTTGTTTAAAAAAAACAATTATTTTATCTTAAATCTATTATTAAATTGAAAATTTGAAATGTATAAGATTCAAAAAAATTTAAGTCTTGGTTCATGTAATTCAAGCTAATAAACTAAATTGAGTTGTTAACGAGCTTAAATTGAATCAAGTTTGAGTTGAAAAAAAGTTCATGTCAAATTCGAGTCAAATTATAAATTGCTTCAAATGTTATCGAGTTGAATTAAACTTAAATTGAGTTCGACTCATTTTCATCCCTAATTATATCAAAAATATTAGTCTAATCAAACTAAGTGAGTTGGAAGTTGGATTAAATTGACTCACTAAAATTTGTTAAAAAGATTATGACTTAACTCATCAAATCAAATTAAAATATAGAGAAAAAAAACACATATGAAACTCATTTATTATTTTTATTTATTTATTCTTTTTTTTTTCTACTTTAATGATATTCAATTTTTAAGTAGTTACTTATTATATTTTTATTTATTTTTAATAGAAATGAATGGAATGTCTCTTCTAACCCTAGCATTAAAGAAACTCAATATTCAATAAAATGAAGTTTTCTTATACAATGAGTTCAACTTGTCTTTATCCAAGGCTTATTTTTTTCTTCTATAAGACCGATACTTTATTATCTACCATTTCTACATAATTTAGTATGTATTTATTCAAATTAGTTATGACTATATATGAAAATTAATTAATTAATATATAGTACCTACTCTTCAACGTTTTACCTAATATAATATATATATATATATATATATATATATATATAAGTTACGTAGATCATCGTCTTTCTTATTTGAAAATTTATGCAAACCAAAATTAAATAATAGTAATAGAACACGCTACGCAAACTTGATTTGACGTACAGGAATCTCGATATCAATTTCATAAACTGGTCCGTACCAATCTTTTCAGCATAATATCCTTTCAATCATAGATTTAGATGTTAAATTATAGGCGTGATTACGGTCTGGCGGGTTAAAAATGTTCTTTTCAGTCCAATCTGACAAAAAAAAAAAAATATATAGGCCAATTTTCGATCATTACAGTAATTTTAGTTTTTCAAGTAAGTTTGGGTTGATCGAATTTCAGATTACGCATATGGATTTAATTGGATTCCACCATATTGGGTCCAACATTTTTTGTCATTTTCTTAATTTATTTTAATTATTTAAAATCTATAAAATGGTTTAATTTGATTGGACTATATTAAAACTAAAAATTTTTTTTTGTCTTTTATTCTCAACTATTCAAAATCTATTAAAATATTATTAATAATTTTTTTTATTAGTAGACTTTAATACTTAATATATACGTTATAAAAAAAGTAAATAGCAGTTCAAAGTCAATTTTTTATAATGATTATTACTAAATTTTAATGTTAATCAATGGAAGAAAAAAAATAACAAATCATGTTTATATATATAGTCTAAATACTGAATCTGCAGTTTTAATGTTTATTATAAGTCAACATCAAATCTTAGATGATATTTTCATAATAAAACAAGCAAATATGTTCATTCACAAGTAAATATGATATTTTCAATGCTTCATTATGAATTTTAGCATTCAGAATGTTGGGCAACTCAACACTCTCTAATGCTATAAAATTTCAGCATTCAAAATCCAATAAAAACACCAAAATGAAAGAAGCACAAAGGCCACTACAAATTTAGCTATCTATGGTCAATCCAACCACCATTTCGTTGGACCAATTTGCTTTAAGGCAACAATATTTGCATCAAATAATCAATCAGACATGAATCTTATGCTCCACTATACTGATCGTTGTCATGGTGTGGTGGTGATACTCTATGTTGGTGTTCAAAACCATCATCCATTCCTAAACCACCTCTCTTTGAGGAATTGCCCTTTGAACTTCTATAAACCTTGAAAGTTGAAAGCATCATGGTATATAAGAAATATTTTATACATTCAAATGCAATGACAAACTTAAGACATACATTCAGAGTCATACCCCAGAACCCTTCCCCTCAATTGCAGCAACACTAGACCTTCACATTATAGTCACTCTTGAAGGTACATGAGGCCAACTCCTAAACCCCCCAATGATCCATTCATAGGGTACATGAGCCTTATGATTGACTTGATCAGTTATAACCAAAAAGATTAAATAAATAAAGTGCACATTCTATTATAACACAAATAGGAAATTCTTTTCCTAGGTTGAGTTTTATTAGAAGAAAAGCTCAAAATAATAAAAATAAGACTAGGCAAAATAGAGGGAAAAATAAAATTAAAAAATAAATACAAGGATGAAAATGAAGATCAACAAAAAAAACATGTAGTATTATAATTCATTGAATAATATACACAAACTAGTAATTCAAAGTAGAATTTTTCAAAATGCTACTCACTAAAATTAATTAGATAAATAAAAATATATTTATTACTCTTTATTATTATCATTGAACATGTGGCATCTCCAGACCACTCTACTGCCACTTGAGCTGTGCCACCCATTATACCCCAATAGATAATAGAATTAAATAAGGATGAAATTTGATTAATACTTGCATGTAAAATGAGTTCACATATAAATTGCCTCCAAAAATCCAATCAAAATGAATCAAAATTATAAAACATAAAGTTTTCAATTGTACTTAAACAAAAGGAAACGGTAAATAAAAAATAAATTATAAAAATCTAGTCTAATCCCATAGCCCCAATGTCACATTATTAGAACAACCATTTACTTCCATTCATGATACCTTGAGTATTGACCTCATCACTTACATCATTACCTAAAACAAACCACAATGTACACGAGCGAGAAAAATAGGCATTCATATGTACGACACAAGGAAAGAATTTAACTCAAATATATGATCAATCGCACATACAATTCATAGTAATACCCAATCACAATATTATTACCATTACATATATCCATCGACTAAATCACCACAATCACATCATCGTCTGACTCATGCATTATGCTCATGCTCACATCAATGCATATGCAATGCAACCTCCTAAGAAACATCAACTCAGAACGTCGCACAATGGGCGAATTTCATGAATATCCTCATGCACCGCCATGCATGGCTACACTGTTTACATAACTTATGACGATGGCACACTGTTAATCACCATTTATGGCCAGTGTATAAATAATGCATCTCACATCGTTTACATCACTTATAACCGGTGTCACACTATTAATGCTCATATCATGTCACCTCATCTATTCATCATTTCTATCCATGCCAATGCACAATTAATAATAAGTCATATCAACCCACATTTATACGTCCACTCATCCACACAAACACCATTTATACTAATCATACAATAGTCATTACTGAACATCATATAATTCACAACCACATCAAAATTCATCAATATAATACCATATTTCATAACATCAAACTCATTCAATCATATCATAAGTATTATAAGGCATCACTAAGAAATCATAAAGTATCACAAACATGCCAAAAAGTGGTTTCAAAACGTCACAAAGGCAAACTGAAAGAAAACACCCACGTCGGGCACCATAAATCCTAACAGCTTGACCTATACTCACTATTTTGACCATAACTTGAGTTATAGACATCCTTTTTTAGTGATTTCAATGTCATTGGAAAGATAACATCCAAGGCTATAACTTTTGTGAAGAACAAAAGGCCTAAAAATTTCTTTAAGGTCACCTCGCATGGCTGACAACACAAAACTTAATATTTCACGCACTAGAATGGAGACTGAACTTATAACTTGCATAACTCGATCAATTCTTAACATTTTTACACGATTCTAGAGTATAAATTATAGCCCAAGTGTCTACTTTATAACCCAACAAAAAAAAATTGATTTGGTTAACGACACTGAAAGATATTACAAAAATACTAAGGTATATCGATAAATAAAATCTCTTAATACAATCAATTATTATCCTGATCATCAATATATATATATATATATATATATATATCCTATTCGTATTCTACACCCGGCTTTACCAAGTTGTGCCCGACTTTAAGCCACAATAGAGAGCACACACAATCTCACGCTCGGCGAAATTACAATTTCG